AGTTCTTAAGAAGGGGTTTACAAGGAAACCACAAGCTGTTCTTCTTTCAAAGATAGTGCTTGCTGACTGCTACGAGTGGAGGAGAAGTCGACTGCTTAGTATTGACTAACTGGCTCTTTGACGACCCTCCGCCAACCTGAAACCAAGAGGTTAAGCCGAACTGGCTCTAACCCTTTGGTTCAGCCTGCACCAACCCTCACCTCATTTCAAAACTGGGCAGAGGCTCGGCTCCACCAATGTCGTTTCGACACATGGCTCCAGCAAGTCTTGCTTTTGTTTCAGCGCATTTTCTGTTTCATCCCTTGCTAAAAGCTCTTTGGCTTTTCGCTTCCGTTTTTCATTCCTTTCGTGCCCTGTGCGCAGGCGGTTTGAATGAGCAGTTTATTTGAGGTTGGTCTAGGCAGGCTGGACAGCAGTGGCTCTATGGTGTCGCTGACATTTGTAGCCTGTCGTCATGAGCAACGTCACTCATTATTCACTTCTGGACCACCTCTTTGCGCCCGCAGTTTTGAAGCAGCCATGCGAACATGTTGAAACCAGTTGGCGCTTGAGCTGCTTTTCGAGCTCGGTGAGAAAGCTTGTGCGTATGGTATTGGCAGTCAATCAAAAGTGGGACCCTATCCAAGGTCTTAACTAGGTCCCCCAGTAGTGCCCTTTTGCCCCTTTTTTTGGGGGAGGCTTCCCCTACTAAAGTAGACTACAGAAACAAATCGGGTACCCTTATTCCAACCTCTCAAATCTGGAGGACCTATACATTACTTTCATATTGAGCCAAACGACGAAAGCCCAGGCGAAACGACGCGTATCCATACGAGTCTGCGCAATCAAGCTGCATGACTTCGCTCCGGAGCTGAGGTGCCCTTGCTTTGTTGCAAGTCCGAGTTATCACTGGCCGAAGGCATCAGATCCGCAACTTGTCGAGGTGCCAAGGAAACCATTGATGTCTCACCAAGCATCAAACAAAAATGTGCACAAATGTATTTCCGGAGGTAAATTAGTAGGACTGAAATGGAAAGTAGGTCATCATTTTTGGCAGGAGTCTTTTGAACATGCATTTGCGTCGCTTCCTGTCACATGCCTCTCCGGGTCGCCTGGAGGACTCATGTTAAACCTCAGATTCACCTGGCTGATTCGGGGGCATTTGAGAAGCTTCCCCGAAGTTGCCGGGGGACCGCCTCGGACACGTACAGCTCTCAGATCGACGGAAGAATGCACCCTCACGCAGTGCTACTGGCGTGACTAGGACTTCCCTCTATGCCACAGAGCTTGAGCAAGGACAAGTGACATGGTGAGTCACTTGCTCAAAGCCCATTCGGGTAATATGAGGGAAGGGACAATCCCAGCCCGAAATAGTTTCGGATCTCCGGCTTCTTAATTCTTGAACCCGTGGTTCTGGGAATTCGACCATTTTTGTACCGATCGGTTTTGAGCAAGTGTCTCAGGTTGTGTTCTCTGCATGTTCGAGTTGATCGCCTAGAAATGAGAGGAGCACGATGCTAGCCCGAGCCATAAGCCCAAGCATGTTCATGAACGTCAAACAAAAACCAGCGACTGGCCCCCAACTTCAAAGGGGGGAGTGGTTTCGGGCAGACACATTTTGTGGGACATGTGGCCGGCGCCATCTGCTTTGTGCCATTGGTCGCCCAGGCAGCCACTCTGCGCACATCGGGCACCCCACGGTGCGCGACGGCAAGTACACCTCCAGGGCGACCTTTCAGCGGGACACCGTGCTGTGCCCCAGGAATTTCCTGCACAGGCGGGTGCCTTAAAAAAAACGCGAGCGGGATCGCTCGGGATTTGTCTCATCACTTCTGTGATACAAGTTGGAATCTCCCCCTTGTGGGGGGGGGGGTTAGTCGTTGGGAACCCCTTTCTGTTGTATCACAGAAGTGGTGATTTCCCACAGCCCTGCTTGAATGCTGGTCTCGCCACTTGGCTTTGGTTTAGCACCAACTTCGCCTGGTGCGAAGCAAGAGGCACAGCCTTACATGTCTTACCACGGCCTCCAGGGGAAAAAACTGTTTTTCCAGCACACCTACCTGCAAAGAGCGAGTTGCTTTGCTGCAATGCAACTTGTTCCGCTGCTCGCTTGTGAATGGCTGGGGAAGTGGGGCCTAAAGGCATCCGGCAGAAACGAATGCCTCCAGGCCTCCAGGGAAAAAAACCACCCATGGGTTTTTTTGCGCAGATCTGGGCACGGCTCACAGATTGCGGCGGGTGTGGCCTGTTCAAAAGAAACTGGGCCAAAAGGTTTCTTGCGTTGCCCTCGGCACCCATTTGCAGGAGGATTTGGGATTCCGTATGGTGATCTGGGTCCAGTGCCCTACCCTTTTCGGGGGGAGATTCGGCTCCCCTACTAAAATAGACAACCCAGAACAAAGTCGGGTACCAACAACTTCTAACCTCTCAAGTCTGGAGGACCTAGTTATCAAATAGCTTCAAACGGACCCCGTTCAACCCTCGTTGTTCGGAAGTTCCGGAGGCTTTCAGTGACCCCTTG